CTTTTAAAATTTTATACTTTAATTATTTAGTTACTGGACACAGTAAACGGTGTACGCATACCGTATTTACTATAGAAAGTGGATTTCACTTCATTTCTACTACCGGTGCTCTCGTCAAATATCTGGCACTTATTATACGGCGGTATATATAGGTGTAGGGATACGGCCTGAGAGGTGGGCGACCGGTGCTCCAGTCTATGCAAACCAATCGAGTCTATGAATGGACACATGAATCAAGTCATTGACACAAATACACGACAACTGAGACAATAATACCATTGATATACGCGACGCCATTGTCTTCTATGACACTCTCATCCAAAACATTCATCTCTTGAGACGACATCTTGATGTCCGGCCACTCGTACTTAATCTCGTGGACATTTCCCGTCAACATCTGATTCATGAAAATTAGAGGATTATCTCCAGGGTTTGTATCATTAAAGGATGTAAGGGGTACTGACTTTCATAAAACAGTGCGAATCTGAGTGGTCGTGAATACGGGTGACTACCGGCCCCTCTGACCAACACACGAGCATTAGATTGTATTTGCCGTTCCCTTTGTCCACCAGATTCCGGGTATACCTAAAAATAATAGTAAATAAACTTATATAATGTATAACATGCCGTAATAACTTACGTATACAGTACACTATCACCCAATTAATAATTATTAATTATACTATTAAAGTAATATCAATTATTGTATACATAACTTATATACAAAATAGATTAATGTTGTTTTGTTTATTAGTTCACCTAATTAACTAAATTTAAGTATATTGAAATAAATAATTACGTGTTTCGGTCGAAATGAGCGTATTTTTGCCATTCAATGGGATTACTCTTATAGGAGAGCATTAGGTTCTGGACGTAATCCACATCTATATCGTTGCCCTCGAAAATGGTCCGCAAATTGTCCACCAAATCGTCAAAAGTTGCAATTTTAGGCATATTTTTATCATTTGATTTACAGTCCATTGTGTTAATAGACGTAAAGTTTGAGGATATGTTTGTTAAGGTATAGCTAGTTATTGAAATTATTTAACAGATGTTTATTGAACAGTTTAATTAATTAATTGGAAATTAGTTGTATAGACAGTAGGGTGGAAAAATACATGTTATTTTTTCTATCATGTATTATACACTGTAAATATTTCTAAATAGGCATAAATAATAGTAAATATTGATTTATATTGAAGTGGAACTGATTTACACTTCTCTCGAGATTAAGATTCAGATTTAATTATTATAAAAACTATTACTGTTTTCAATACTTTGAATAACTTATCGCAGAATCTATGCTTAAATTATTACTGTATTCTATCATGTATTATACACTGTAAATATTTCTAAATAGGCATAAATAATAGTAAATATTGATTTATATTGAAGTGGTGACTGATCTCTCGATGATCAAGGGGTGGTGTCACCGGACTTCACAACAGATACCTCGAGATGTATAGCTGACTATCTCTCGGTATAATATCAGGACAGGCCGTTGGGAACGAAGGGTTGGCAGAGAGTTGCTGTTGAGACGTAGTGTTGGACCGTTAGCTGACAGTCGGTGCTTATGTTACTCGTATTCAGAGAAGACTCGCGGATATAATTAAAATACTTTATTGTTTATAATTAAGAAATGCATTTAAAATTGCATTACTAAATGAATTACAAAATACTGAGTCTCTGAGAAAGCACTGCTCGACCGTTCAGTCCGAGTGTAAAACTATGAATGATTATAATTGATATGAAAAGCTTTCCTTTCGACTCAGGAATACAGCGGATTAATACATGAATTATAATGATCTGAGAGTTCACTGCATATGTGACTCTTTACAGTAATAATTTAAGCATAGATTCTGCGATAAGTTATTCAAAGTATTGAAAACAGTAATAGTTTTTATAATAATTAAATCTGAATCTTAATCTCGAGAGAAGTGTAAATCAGTTCCACTTCAATATCATACTTATAAATCGTTACTCTTATTTTATCACTAAATTGAATATAGAAATAAACAAGAATAAACTTCTGAAATGTTTTGCAAGTTTAATTTTCAATCTATTTCAGTTTTTGTTATTTTTGTTGTGCGGATAGAGGATATTGAATGAATGCGGATAATTATTTTAACCCATTTTGGGAAAAGTTTTCTAAACACATGATTTTGTTTTACATTTTATTCATTTATAATCAAATAAAATTAATTAAAATAATAATTTAGATTATTACATAATTACAAATTACAAAACATACGCTTGAATAATATTTAAAATAATCAGAAATTTGAAAGTTTCTCAATTGGGGCGGGTTTTCATGTACGTATGGTACATGTGCTCATGTATTGTACATGCATAATACATAGAATAATGCACATGTATTATACATTTAATGTATGGGAATCTACCCTAATAGACAGCGTATTTATATTGCTTATAATGTGATAATATTGTCTTATCGTTATTGATTTCATGCAGAATAATTAACAAATTACTTGATAAAATTATCAATCAAGATAAAATTATTTATTTAGTACATCAAGGACAGGGAGATCTTAAATGAGTGCACTTCGAGATATAGATATTTTTGGATAGATTATTAATTTCTAGAATATAAAATAGTTTTAAAATATTCAATAAGTTAATTAACGAATATAAAATTAAAATATAGCAAATAATTGTTATTTCAAAAATCTTATTGAATAAAAATGTTTAAAATGAATTTTACCGAGATTGTTTAAGAATTATAATTTATAACACTTATATTTTAGTTATATAATATAATGCAAAAATAATTATTTTAGAATTTCGTAAATAAAAAATTATCTAAAGGTACTTTAATATATGATTGTTTTACTTAATAACATCATGTATGTCATATATTACATTGGTGCAAAAGTTCTCGCCGAAATTGCCATAGAACGCAATGTTATAAGCGGCGAGAACTTTTGCACCAATGTAATATTAAATTAATCCAGGCTTTTTGGTAATATTAATTGTGTTACTTTTATTTGAGTATAATATGGCTTTTATAGCAATTATATCTAAAATAATACAAATACTGAAAATTATAACAAATGTATAAGTTATTATTTGTTCAAAATTACTTAAATACAATACTGGTTTAGCAAGAGTAATATTTTGCGCCATTTTATAACATTTTATTAAACACGATGTCAAGGGATTAATTAAAGTTAATATTTTTTAATGATATTTTATACATAATATAAGCTTATCATTTAATAGTGAAATAATAAAAAATTACTTTCGTAACTACAATATTTAAAAAGTTATTCACGTTTAAAAATACACAATTTCTTACAGTTTATCGTATATTTTCAGACTACCTTTTCAGCTATTTTTTCAACTTTGCACCAACCCACTAAATCGATTCCCCATCGAAAAATAAAATTTCAATTTTAAAAATCCATCAATA